GGTGCAGGCAGGCAGGGCTGGGGCAGGCAGGGCTGGGGCAGGCAGCACAGATCTTTCTGAATTAAAGCAAGCTACAAAAGGGATCCTCTCCACTCGAAGCTCAGATTTCCTCTCTCTCGTTTCTTTTTTTTTTTTTTTTTCCTTTTTTCTTTGTAACTCCCAGTTTTCTCTCTCTCTCTCTTATTTTTTTTTTTCCTCCCAACTCCCCCACCCCTCGCTTTTTTTCTTGTTTTGTCTTGTTTGTTTGTTTTTTAGAGGGCTGCTGTACCGCCAAAGAGCCTGCACATCCCAAGCTCCTGCTTTGTGGGCCCGCAATAATGACACTTTTCTGCCAAAACGTGAATGAGTGGGTCTTGCTTTTTGCCTCTTTTTTTTTTTTGGTCGTTGCTGTTGTTGGGTTTTTTTTTTGTTTTGCTGTGTATTTTTTTAAATGTTTCCTGAAATACAAAAACAAACCGCCCTCTTGCATGCGAGGGCACATTTCCTCCTCACAGCCGCAGAGAAGTGGGGCACAGACCTTCCTCCACCGGACCTTTTTATCTTTTTTTCCCTCCCTTTTTGGGGAGGGGGCAGATTTCAAATTAAACCCACTATTATATCCCAAGACATTTAATCAGCTGTAATTATAACACATTCAAAATGAAGAATATGCCTTGACAGTATTTTTATTGTTATTGTTCATCACATGATGTTAGACAGCTTCAGAGGCACAGGAAAGAGAAGTAAACGGGTTACAAATAGGGAATTATCCCGCGTTTAGCATTAAAATTCATTTAGATAAAATTGCCACAAACATTTAAATGGGGAGATTAGTTCCCCCTCACGCCTTATTGCACTCTCTCAATGGCTCCGTTAAGAACATTTTACACGTTGGAAATTCCGCCTTTTCGGGCCGCTCGCTGTTTCCTAGCTACCCTCCTTTCAGCGCTCCGGGGAGGGCAGGCGGGGGGGCCGCCCGGCCGCGCCTCAGCGCCCGGCCCGGGGGGGCTGCGCGTCCCTGCGC